GGAAAAAAGGGGAAAAGTTGGGAATCCCCCTGGGGGTCCGGCGGCCCCCCCCGCCCCCGGGGGCCCGAGAATGTCGCTCCACCGGGGGGCCCGGGCCCCCGGGCCGCCCCACCGGGGGCCCCAACCTGTCCTCCATCGGGGGGTCCGGGCCCCCGCTCCGTGGGGGAACAACCTTCGCTCCTCCGGGGTTTTCCGGGCGCCCCCCTCCCCGGGGGGCCCCGGGGGAACCTGTCCTCCCCCCGGGGGGCCCGGGCCCCCCGCTCCCCTTGGGGCCCGGACCTTGGGCCCCTTTCTGGGGGGGGGCCCCGCCGCTCCCGCCTGGGGGCCCCAAACCTGCCCGCTCCGCCGGGGGGTCCGGCCCCCCCCGCCCCCCCGGGGGGAAACGATCCGTCCCCCGCCGGGGCACGATGCCCCCCGCCCGCCGGGGGGGAAACAATCCCCGGGTCCCCCGCCGGGGGGCACTTCCTGTCCCCCCCGATGCCTGCGCCCCCCCCCGGGGGGGGGGCCCGGTGCCTGCTGCTTTCCGCCCGGGGGCCCGGCTTGCCCGGGGGGCGTCCTGCTGCTGCTCCGCCTGGTGGCCCGCTGGCTGCTCCGCCTGGGCCCCGCTGCCTGCTGCTTTCTTCGCCTGGTAAAACCGATGTGCCTACATGCCCGGAGTCCCTGCCCGATGTGCCTCTGGCCGGAGTCCTGCCCGATGTGGCCTCCTGCCGGAGTCCTGCCCGATGTTGCCTCTGCCCGGAGTCCTGCACCGATGTGCCTCTGCCCGGAGTCCTGCCCGATGTGGCCTCTGCCCGGTTTAGGCCTCTGCCCGGTGATGCCTCTGCTCGATGTGCATCTGCCCGGAGTGCTGCCTGATGTGCCTCTGCCCGGAGTGCTGCCTGATGTGCCTCTGCCCGGAAGTGCTGCGCGATGTGCCTCTGCCTGATGTGCCTCTGCCGGTGTGCCTCTGCCCGGTGTGTGCCTTCTGACCGATGTGCCTCTGCCCAATGTGCCTCTGCCCGGTGTGGCCTCTGCTCGATGTGCCTCTGCCGGAGTCCCATGCCCGGAGTGACACTCTGCCCGGAGTCCAGCCCGGTATACATCAAGAGTGCCGCTGCCCGGGTGTGCCAGTCTTTGATATCCGGGAGTTGCCAGTTACCAGACCAGGGCGGTGGAACAATTTTGCCCAGTCTAGGACTGTTTGGAGCGTCCTGAGGCCGCTCCAGAGTTGAGTTGTGGGGGTGGGGTACTGCAGTAGGAATGATTATTCAGGCCAGCAATGGTGGGACTCACCTGCCTTTTGATCTGCAGTACCAGGGCTGGCCAGCGGGTGCTCCAGCAATCAAAGACTCCAACCTTTCAGCCAGCTATACACCTGGAACTGATGATACTGGGGTATTTAAGGGATGGCCAGACTTGCAGACTCTGCCTTGGTGTTGTGTTTGTCCTGGGCCCTGTATCTGTCCTGCATCCTGTTTCTGTTCCTTTGCTGACTTCTCCTGCTCTGATCCTGGCTTGTGACCCTGACCCATCCTCTGTCTGACCCTCTGTACTACGCTGCTTGCTACCTGCTGAACCTGGCCTGTGACCCCGACCATCTCTCTGCTTGCTCCCCCCTGTACCTACCTGCCCATTGATATTGACCCGGCCTGCCTGACGACGCTTGCTTGTATATACTGTTATCTTGTCGGGTGGTTTGGTTTGTTGCACTGTGTTATGTTTTTAGTATTGCACTGCATTTATGTTTGTATTGTTAGTGTTAATAAATTGTATTGTTTTATCACATATCTGAAGTCTGCGTTTTCCCTGCATCAGTCACACACACCTCTTGGTCATACCTGGGAGCCCCTGACAGCCACACTCTGCCATGTGCCACTTTCAGGTCTCCTCACACTGCTGGTGTTGTGTTCCATTTTTTGACATAGGTGCTGGCAGATTACGGGCCTCCCATAGCTGCTGCCAGGCCCCTAATCTCTTTTGCCATGGGCCCCTGTACTGCCTCCTCATGCTGCTGGGCCAGATCCACAGTGTCTCATGCCATGTGCACTTTCAGGTCTCCTCCTCACACTGCTGGTGTGTTTCCAATTTTTTGTCATAGGGTGCTGGCAGATTACGGGCCTCCCATAGCTGCTGCCAGGCCCCTAATCTGCCATGGGCCCCTGTACCACCTCCTCATTGCTGCTGCCAGGTCCAGAGTCTCTCATGGGTCCCTGTACTGTGGGGGGCCTCCCATCGCTGCTGTCTCCATCGCCACACTCCTGACCATGTGCCACTTTCAGGTCTCCTCACACCACTGCTGGTGTTGTTCCATTTTTTGTCATAGGGTGCTGGCAGATTACGGGCCTCCCATTGCTGCTGCCAGGCCTGTAATTGCCATGGGCCCCCGTACCGACTCCTCATGCTGCTGCCAAGCCCATAATCTGTCATGGGCCCCTGTTGTCGCTTGTTGGCATATTCCGCTCGTTCAGATGCTCCTTCTCCTGCTGCTATCCTCTTCACGGATTCCGTCAGCAGTCTTTCTTGGAATCCGTTTCCAAGAGACAACAGTTTGCGAGCACGGCCACCCGACGGTGCAGAAGCTGAACGCCCCCCTGTCCAAGTTGCTGCTGCCAGGCTCGTAATCTGTCATGCGCCCCTGTACCGCCTCCTCATGCTGCTGCCAGGTCTGAGTGTGTCATGGGCCCCCGTACGCGACTCCTCATGCTGCTGCCAGGCCCGTAATCTGTCATGGGCCCCTGTACCACCTTCCTCATGCTGCTGCCAGGTCTAGAGTGTGTCATGGGTCCCTGTACAGCCTCCCATTGCTGCATTGCAAGGCCCGTTAATCTGCCATGGGCACCCCGTTCCAACTCCTCATGCTGCTGCCAGGCCGTAATCTTTCTGTCATGGGCCCCTGTACCGCCTCCTCATGCTGCTGCCAGGTCCAGAGTGTGTCATGGGTCCCTGTACGGCCCTCCCATTGCTGCTGTTCTCCATCGCCACACTTGCCATGTGCCACTTTCAGGTCTCCTCACACTGCTGGTGGTTTCCATTTTTGTCATAGGGTGCTGTATGGCCTCCCATTGCTGCTGCCTCCACCGCCACACTGTGGCTCCACACTCTAGGGTTTTGGCCCCGTGACTGCCCAAATGAGTGAAGTGTGCGGTGATTCTAAGATCGACGGCACTCATCTGCATGTCATACTGACTGTCAGTATTATTTCTCTTCCCAGCAGACTCCAAGGGCATTTAAATTAAAGGTACAGTGTTCTGCACTAATATAAAGGCTCTCTGAAGCCTAGATAACAAAACACCCTTTTATAAGTTAAATTCACAGCGAATATATTCGACTCGAATCAAAATTTTTCCACGAATTCGCCGAATCAGCCGAATCGAATTTTTGAATACTTCGCTCATCTCTAGTTTTTGTTATAAAATTTTGTAAATAAGTGATTTTCTCCTCACGCACATGCTGGTGATGTGCACTAATGAGGCTGCAGTGATGGGCACAGGGGCGGACTGACAACTCATGGGGCCCCCTGGGCAATAGGGGATCATGGGGCCCCTGTTGTCCTTGCCCAAACTCAAAAAAGCCTATGAAAAAGATTACCAGGGGCATCTCATGGGCCCCTTCTGAACCTGAAGGCCCTCCATGCCCTCGGGCAGGGCCCGAGTTTTCCAAATGGTCAGTCCACCCCCTGGGTGGCACTGATGGGCACTGATGAGGAGGCACTGGTAGGTGGCACTGATGGGCATTTGACAGGCATCACTGATGGGCACTGAAAGGCAGGCACTCCGATATATGGCACTGAGAGGCAGCACTGACTGGCACTGATAGCATCACTGACTGGCACTGATAGGCGGCACTGACTGGCACTGTTTAGGTGGCACTGACTGGCACTGATAGGTGGCACTGATTGGCAGCACTGATAGGTGGCACAGACTGACATTGACTGGCACTGATAGGCGACACTGACTGGCACTGATAGGTGGCACTGATTGGCAGCACTGATTGGCATTGATAGGTGGCACTGGCGGATGAGTGACACTGAAAGGCAGCTCAGATGGGCAATGATATGTGGCATTGATGTCGCACTGGTAGGCCACTGTTATGTGGCATTGATGTGCACTGATGGGCCCTGACAGTGGCATGGATGAGCACTGAGAGCTGGCACTGATGGACATTGACAGGTGGCACTGCTGGGGCTACACAGATCATCAGGGCACACTGATCATCAGTAACACTCTGATGATCTGTGTAATCGTCCCCTCTGAGGAAATGCCAATTACCGGCTCTCCTCTCCTCACGAGCTATGAGCGTGACAGCTCGTGAGGAGAGAAATAGCTGATAACCGGCATTTCCCTGTTTACACATGCGATCAGCTGTGATTGGACACAGCTGATCACACGGCCGAGCCAACATCTTTGGCTCTTTCCATGGATCGGTGATCCGCTGTGTCCGAGGGACACAGCGTACCGCCGATCACCGCGCTGCGCACCTTCCCGGAGCCGCGCATGCGCGGTTGAGAATAGGAGGACGTCATATGACGTCCTCCCCAGAACGAGAGAACCGCCTTGCGCCCCTCATTGGACTATATGACGGGTGGGAGGCGGTTAAAATATTATCGTAGTTTTAATGGGAGTTCTGTCATTTTTCAGGTTGTCAGTAAAAAAAAAAGTAATCAAGGGTTGGCAACACTGGCAGAGATACAGGACATCATTCTGTAATTGAGTGTACCAGCAAGACTGTCTTTCGGATTGGACAATCAAAATATGTTATTGTTATTATTGTTTTTAGATGTTCCTTTACCTGGCCACTAGAGGTACAGTGGGGATCAAAAGTTTGGGCACCCCAGCTAAAAATTTGTATTAATGTGCATAAAGAAGCCAAGGAAAGATGGAAAAATCTCCAAAAGGCATCAAATTACAGATTAGACATTCTTATAATATGTCAACAAAAATTAGATTTTATTTCCATCATTGACACTTTCAAAATACAGAAAACCAAAAAAATGGCGTCTGCAAAAGTTTGGGCACCCTGCAGAATTTATAGCATGCACTGCCCCCTTTGCCAAGCTGAGACCTGCCAGTGTCATGGATTGTTCTCAATCATCGTCTGGGAAGACCAGGTGATGTCAATCTCAAAGGTTTTAAATGCCCAGACTCATCTGATCTTGCCCCAACAATCAGCACCATGGGTTCTTCTAAGCAGTTGTCTAAAAAACTGAAACTGAAAATAGTTGACGCTCACAAAGCTGGAGAAGGCTATAAGAAGATAGCAAAGCGTTTTCAGATGTCAATATCCTCTGTTCGGAATGTAATTAAGAAATGGCAGTCATCAGGAACAGTGGAAGTTAAAGCAAGATCTGGAAGACCAAGAAAAATATCAGACAGAACAGCTCGCAGGATTGTGAGAAAAACAATTCAAAACCCACGTTTGACTGCACGATCCCTCCAGAAAGATCTGGCAGACACTGGAGTTGTGGTACACTATTCCACTATAAAGAGATACTTGTACAAACATGGTCTTCATGGAAGAGTCATCAGAAGAAAACCTCTTCTACGTCCTCACCACAAAAATCATCGTTTGAACTTTGCAAATGAACATATAGACAAGCCTGATGCATTTTGGAAACAAGTTTCGTGGACCGATGAGGTTAAAATTGAACTTTTTGGCCGGAATGAGCAAAGGTACGTTTGGAGAAGAAGGGGCACAGAATTTAATGAAAAGAACCTCTGTCCAACTGTTAAGCATGGGGTTGGTTCAATCATGCTTTGGGGTTGTGTTGCAGCCAGTGGCACAGGGAACATCTCACGAGTAGAAGGAAAAATGGATTCAATAAAATTTCAGCAAATTTTGGATGGTAACTTGATGCCATCTGTGAAAAAGCTGAAGTTGAAGAGAGGATGGCTTCTACAAATGGATAATGATCCTAAACACACCTCGAAATCTACGGAGGATTACATCAAGAGGCGTAAACTGAAGGTTTTGCCATGGCCTTCACAATCTCCTGACCTCAACATAATTGAAAATCTATGGATAGACCTTAAAAGAGCAGTGCGTGACAGACAGCCCAGAAATCTCAAAGAACTGGAAGACTTTTGTAAGGAAGAATGGGCAAAGATACCTCAAACAAGAATTGAAAGACTCTTGGCTGGCTGCAAAAAGCGTTTACAAGCTGTGATACTTGCCAAGGGGGGGCAGTACAAGATATTAACTCTGCAGGGTGCCCAAACTTTTGCAGACGCCATTTTTTTGTTTTCTGTTATTTTGAAAGTGTAAATGATGGAAATAAAATCTAACTTTTGTTGACATATTATAAGAATGTCTAATCTGTAATTTGATGCCTTTTGGAGATTTTTCCATCTTTCCTTGGCTTCTTCATGCACATTAATACAAATTTTTAGCTAGGGTGCCCAAACTTTCGATCCCCACTGCAGTTACGTTTCATGAATGATGATCGGACTTCCCTGTAGTTGCCAATTTATTTAATATGTGTCATGATGAAGGAATAAATGAAATATCAGACATCTTCCTTGATATAGTACCTGGCACATTGGTTTTAACATTGGGAAACTTCCCTATTAACTGGGAATTTGACTTTTGTGGTTATCAATCATTATGCAGATGTCCTCTATTAAAAAGAATTTTCCCACAATTCATCATGGCACTCCATTATATAATGCAGATGCTCTCTTTCAGTCCATCATGCAAATATACCTCATGTCCTTTTGCAATCTTATATGTGGATTATATTATTAGAAAACCATTTAATTTCCATATGATTCAAAGTGTCCACCCCAGAATCATCAGCCATAGTGCAAGTTATTAGAAACTGATTGATAACGGACTAATACTTGGTGAAACTGTGTAGTTGATAACCCAGTGTGGTTGTATCCTTTGAGAGTCCTTGCCAACATTGTACTTATTAATACTATATCATAATTTCATTTGATACAATATTAACGTCAAATTGACACTTATGTCTTCTCCTTTGGCTGAAACTATCCTGTAACCAACTTTACAATATTTGTCCTTACAAGTTCCTTCGTAGGGTCTTCTCAGTTTCATCTAATCAATGACTAACTGGTTCTTTCACTTGTATTGATTTGGTTCAAAGTTTGAATAAACACTGGGTTTTGTATAGAGATTTGTATTTTCTAGTCATGCTGAGGGGAAAATTTCCTTTGCGACCGGTTGACAAACACTGGCAGATAGTAGTTTACCAAGATGAACTGCTTGTACTTCTCAGTTAGAGTCTCCACCATTGTAAATTGATCTGCTCTGTCTAACAATTCTTAGATTTGATTTGAATGTTTGGACTTGGTCAACAGAGTGTTTGGGAGAACCATTTCCATTGTTTTTACATGGCTATTTGTTTGGTCTGCTTAAATCTGCTTAAATTACTAATGTTCAGGGGATTACTTTGTTTTGGGAAAAAACATTTGTGCTTTTGAATGTTTCAGTGGGTATATATATTTTATATAACTTATGAATTTTTATGTATCAAAACCATGACAACTTTCACCCATTAGTAGATAACAATATTTATGTAAAACCTGTTGAACTTGAACATGTTGGTTTTTCCAATCTTAGTTATCAATCTTACGGTTTGTGTATCTTCATGTTTTTTAGGATGGTAAAGTAGTCCAGTCGTGTCCTGACAAGAGGCCCTTTGATAAGCTCATTGCCAAGCATCTGTGGTAGCGAGCCCTAGTAGCACCAACTGGGGGTTCCCCTGGGTGCAGAGTCTAAGCATCAGCCTGCTTCTTCACCATGATCCCTAATGGTGGGGATGGACTTGCAGCAAACTGGAAGAAGGTTGCTGCCCCCAGATACACCCAGCTGAGAATGTGGAGACCACTTGTGTGTGCAGAGTACAACAGCAGGAGACAAAAGAAATCCAGGAGACAAGCCGAGGTCAGGACAGGTAGCAAGCAAGCACAGACAGTAGTCAAATCCGGGTTCGGTACACAGGTAGTCACACAGCATACATAGGTGGTAAAACGAACAGGACAACAGAGAACTGGGAAGTTGCTCAGGCAAGGCAAACTGCACTGAGCATCTCAGCATGTGTATATATATACAGTATAGGGAATCAAACTAGGAGACGACCCAGAAAGCGATAGAAGGGAAAAGGATATAAATTCACAGTAGAGCAGGTAATTCCCATAGAGAAGCCATTCATGTGAATGAAATCACAGGACTAGGAGAACCACCGCAAGAAGGAGGTGAGAAATGCACAAACAAAAATCTGCAGGCTAGACCGTGACACATTTAAAAAAAGCTTTACTATAGCCCCATTGTAAAAATCTAAACTGCAACTGTTTAGCTTGAAGTTCAAAATGTGAGTCAAATGTGCAGTTTCAATTCAAATGATTATATTGAGCATAAGAAATACTTTTCACTAAGCTTACTGGATGAGACCTTGTAGCATGTAAAATTTAAATTCCCACAGTGGGCTTTCTTTGTAAGGTAGTAGCCAAGATTCCATTTGATTGGATGAACATCTCCACATCCAAAAAAACTTATCTTACTCTTGTGGTATTGCATAATAAACTTTAAATTGAACTAAATCTGGTTCAGAATCTGAATGAATTGGTGCAGATCCTTGGAAGTACCCATCCAAATTACTAGCACGTCATCTATATAAACCATGTCAACTGGCTGTATGGCTCACATATTCTGCCAGGGCATCATCTGAGAACACAAAACATTCCCAAATGGGGAAGGGGCATGAGCGCCCGACAGCAGCATGGACTGAGAGCTCCTACACCCGCCGTGGGATAGTGCTCACCTGACCCCGCTGTATACCTGCCATTTGGCCATCGCTGAAGCCACTGAGAACCATGGTCCGGGAAAGTCCAGTGTGGCTGGTGATCCTGGGGAGCACAGTAAACCGTGAGGAGGAGAAGAGCTGTAAGGCAGCTACCAGTCAACAGCAGGAGAGTGATCCGGCAGGAGAGAGCGGAGGACCCAGGTGACTGGTCAAGGAAGCCTGGGAACCTGGGAGCTGAGTGCCGGGAGCTAGGAGAATGGAGCCTTCCTGTTTCTTCCCCCAATGAGCTCCAGGTCTTTACCATCTCCTTAAAGTGGCAGGGGCTTTGTTGAAAATCACTGTGAGACTGGGGATGGCTGTAACACAGGACGCGGGGAGAACACGCTGAGGAGTGGGATGGGAGCCACAGAGTGGACACCTGAAATGGGGACCACCAGGACTGGGAACCCCTAAGCACTGAAAGAGAGCCAGCATGACACAGAAAAAGAAAGAAGAACTTCGGCCAGCCATCCACTAATAACAACACACAGGAGAAGGTGAGTGGGAGGCTATAAATCCCCAAAGCCCAAACCCTTGTATGCTACTGTGAAGGCTGGTTGACACATGGCTAGAATATCAGTGTATTG